AAATTATCTCAACTACCATTTGAGATTATTAGAATGTTATTAGAACGTGTTTGATGCCTGTTTGTAGAAGACGGAACTTAATCCCATGTTAAATGAACTGTACCATTTATTTTGGGCTATAATGCCCTATCAAGTAGATTTTCAGAATGATTTAATTCTTTATCCCTCCAGCCTTAGAAAGCTTGAAAAAGTCGTGCAGTTTTCATGCGATCTTAATTTCTAGCAGAGTTCTATAATTATTTGATAAGACAATTTTGGCGGCGGAAGTCTACTAGCGTGTAAATCCAACTTAAATCTAAGACAAAAGGTTCTTCATTTGTATAATGATAACGAAATGCAATACAAGACTGTCTCTGTGGGCATGTTGAACATAAAATTCATCCAGTTCAACAATTTTTTCAAGGTCAGCTATCAATCAAAAGCATTTAACCGAATTTTTATATCTTATTCAGCAGAGATACTACAGAGAAAGAAGAGAAAAAGTTGGCAACATGTCTTCGTTCAACAGCTGGCTTATTTTTGTTACTCTGCTTTTTAAAATTTTCTTTTACCAATCCTTATTCGCAGGATACAATTCAAGCTATCCACCCTCAGGTGAGTTTTTACATCAGGTAAATTTATTTTACCGTCGTCACCAAAATGACACATGGCCGGGTGTTTTGCTTTCGCTGAAAGGAAAGCGCACTTAACAAGTGGAATAAAAATTTCAGCGTCGCAGTTATCTTTCAAAATGAAAATGAACTGATAAACTATATCCCATTTGGTTTAGATATAAACGCATGGCATACACCAGAGAAAACAGAATTATTACCTTCCTAGTCACAAGGCATTTCGCAGATATTTTTCATTGATATTTTTCATGTCAGCCTAAAATTAAAAGCCAGTTCTTCAGTTTTAAAGCATTTTAAGGAAACTGTAAACTTGCCAATTGCTTTTTGAAATGCACCTCCTCACCTTCCCAATTTTTCCGATATCATAAAAATGTCGAGAGAGTTTGTCCCATGATCCATTATGTTTTATGACTCTTTCGTACGTCCCGTCTATGTATCTATTAGAAACATTAGTGTACCATTTTACCAAATTTAATCCGGAAAAGAAGAGAACTGGATTTATCGGGTAAAAGGATTAACGTAGAAGATAAAGATATTTTTAATGCTTATCCCTTTCCGGTCCTCTAGTCGGACAAATTATAACGTACCTTGACTACTGACATCATGCTGCAATATAGCCATAGTAAAAAAAAAATGGAATAATGATGTGTCATAACGAGCCTTCCACACCCTTTGTAGTACTTTGAAGATCGCCCTACCATTACGGACAGGACAATTCTTTGACATGTTTTGACAAGGTTCCACAACTTGTTTTAACTTTGATTGGTCTCATATCAATGCAGGACCAATTAAAACCCCCAATGTTTGAAGGCGGAATCGTATTTTTGAAACTTAAGGTTTTGTTGAAACCTTCTCCTGCCTTAAACATTTTGCACTGGTTCTGTAATAAGTAGAACCTAACTTGTCCCACAAAATTGGATAAAACAGCCAGGTAAGAGAATTAAATCAAAAATTCCTTAATTTTGGATAAACATAATTCAGTTTGCATCAGCTTGTTTTCAGCGAGTTTTTTTATACTCACTTTTTTCTGGGTCTAATTTCGTTCTTATTTGCGTTATGCCAAGTGCTAGACTGCAATTTTGACGACTCTACGTTTTGCGAATGGGCAAATGACAACTCTGAAAGATCGAAGTTTAACTGGACTTTACAGTCAGGGCAAACACCAAGTTTGAGAACAGGACCTATTTCTGATGTTTCAGGTATTGATTCTTTATTTTATATCGACCCCTTAAGTTTAACAGTATGTTACGTACGCAACGTTCCTTTGAATAATCACCCAGATCGAATTGAAGATAATAATTTTAAACAGTCACTCATTTTATTGAACTGCAGTAACTTAGAGCTACTTTCTATTGCAATATTGACAACAAAGCGTGTAATCTGCTGATAATGCTGAAAGATCGACGACGAACTCGCCACGTTTCACTTCCATAACCTATTAGCAGCCTTCAGTGTCTTCAGTTCAGTTGAAAGTTAAAATCTGCATCACACTTAAGAGCGGATGTCAGTAAATATCGACCGGAGGTCTGCAAAAGTGAAAACTCGAAAATTCGCAAAAAAATCCACAAAGTAGCACTAAAAAAGCTGTTAAAAAAAATGTCATTTTTACTTCGATCCGATAATTATTTTCGACGTACGGGGGGTGGGGGGGGG